TGGTTGATGGGTGTCTGAAGATTTGTGTGATGAGGAATGTAAGTTGCTTAAATTAAAAGAGTGGAAATTTTTAGCCGATAAAAAGGAACTTTCTCACTGGCCCAAACAGATCCTAGGTGTCACCTCTCCTAGATTTCGATTTAGCCACTCATGCCGCTCCACGTGGCACATAGAACATCCTATTAGTTTCTTCCTTACAACGTAATATATATTTATTTTATACAAAACAATAACTGAGTCTTCAATTTTATTTTTGCGGATACAAAAAAGTTATTTTCTCAAAATTTTAAATTTTTTAGACTTAAATTTATTTTTATGTAAATTTATATATTTTATGAATTAGTTGATATATACAGCCTAATTATAATATAATTTTTTAATAAAAATATACAATTTATTTAATACTCAGATTTTGCGAAAGGAACAATTGGGATCTGAGAATTCTGGACCCCAAACCCAACATTAAAACTATTTTGGTAACTTGAATTTGAACAGACAAATCAATTTACATATAAAATAATAAAAGAAAATTATATTTTTTAATAATTTTAAATCTTAATAATTTAAATATTAAAATATTACGTTACACATTCAAGAGTTATAATTAAAAATTAGAATGATTCAATCTCATTATAAATTTAATTTTTTTTGTTTAATTGTACATAACAGTCAAATTAAAATTATTTTCATATATTTTTTTACTTTTATTTTAATATTTTTCTAAATTCAATTTGTTTGTAATAAGTATATATATATATTAGTATAAGTAAATAAATAAACTAATTGAAATTAAAGGTAGATTAATCGAGATCAAACAATATCACAATAACTCATATAAAAATTAACACGAAAATTATCTTCTCTATAAATATGAAAGAACAAACTTCTCAATCAACTTTACTTTCAAAAAATCATTAAAGATAATAAATAGTACTTTGGAAATTTTATTTGTGAATAAATTTTATTCGTGCATCTCCCGCAGCAATATAAAGTGTTCGCATTTATAGGTATGTATCTGTGTGTGTGTGTATGTTTATTATGGGCTGATAGTGAAAAGAGGAAAAGATGTATGTATATATATAAGAAATCAAAAAGTAGTAGTAACGAAAAGTTATGAAGACCCAAAATTTTGGGTAAAACAAATTTGAATTAAAGATACATAAGTATATAATAATGTTAAAGTTTACATTCTTTACACATAAATTAAA